GGGCACGGTGAAAGTGGACGGCGGCGACGAGCCTGTTGGAAGCGACCAGCTGCACGACTGTGACAGGGCGATGAAGGATGAAGGAAACGTCGTGTCCATCTTATCCAGTGTTCCGTCGAACTTTCTGTGACAGTCCTTGGCTTGCTTGATTTTGGACATCATCTCCACCAGGAGGTTTAGATCCGGGGACTCGCTCTTGAGGAGCTTGACGGTGAAGCCATTGACCTTGTCGCTGAGTGTGTGTGTCTCGCTGCAGAGAAAGTTGCGGATAAAAGACGCGGTGTACCGAGTGACAAATGCTTCTCTGTTCCCGAGTTTGGTAAATATGAGGATCTTGCAACTCGTTAGTTACAACATCTCTCCTCCCGGTCGGTGGCTTCGGGGCTTGTAAAGTGTACACATACCATGTTATCCTCTTGTCTCTCACTGCTTTCAACATCAACTGTTCTTGGTGAGAGCATCCGGTCAACAGCATCGTACAAAAATCCCGGCGCATCGTTGTCGCAGAAGCAAACCGAGTTCTGGTTGACAATTTCATGAATGACACTGTCCATGATCTCTTGAAACTCTGTGTCGGACTGAAAAGGTCCTTCGACAATGGAGTCCGCCAAGCGCACCACAGCGGCGAGAGACGTGACAAAGACCATGGGATTGATGGCCGGTGACGTTCGAGCTCCTGTCGCTTGACCAGACTGACCGCCTCTGAGCCTTTCCGCAGCAGAAAAGTTCTGAACGCGGAACCAAACTTTGGGTTTCCAAGCTTGAGGTTCGCTTCTTTTAGTATGGTGTAGAGTGCCGCAAGAGTGGCGCGGTCATCACGATCGAGAAGCTCCATAAACTTGGACGGGCAAACGCCCCAGTATCCAGATCCTTCCTTGTAGCGACTCATTGACGCGAGAAGAGCAGAGTTTACGCTTCTAATATGGTGACATATCTGCAGGTGGAAGAGGGTTTTTGCGGCGGCTCGATATAGTTCAACGTGGCGGGCAACCTGTCGTCGTGTGTCAGAATCTTCTGCAATGAGAGTGATATTTCAGGCCGTCGAGGCGCGACTTACCATTTCCACGCGCTCCTCAAGCTTGGATTCCTCCATTCCCGTCAGGCCATTTGCGAAGTTTGTGGTAAAGATCGTAATCCACGAGTTGATGATCGAGACATCACAGGCCGATCGCTGGCCAGGGACGAGGATGAATGTTTTGTGATCGATGCGTGATCGTGCGAGTCTTAGGTCCTTCAAGTCTGCAATCGTGTCTGTGCCAGGATTAGCCTAAGGCCTGAGAGATGTCTTCCGTTGTATACTTACCAATGGAATCGACCAGCGTTCGGAATATCCCCAGGCCCTCCAGGGTTCCGCCGTCGCCCAAACAGTGCTGGAGCAGATGTTTCATTCTGCTTTGAGGGATTTCTTGGCCGGAGTCAGCACGTAAGTATTCCACTCGAGCAGACAGAGGTAGTACACTGGGAGAGGCCAGTAGCTGTACCGCGATCCTTCTTCCGAGTATCTTTGACCCATTACGAACGTTTCGTCGACAGCGCGGAGGGCACGACTGGAGTGCTCGGCGAAGCGGTGGTATCGGGTCCACTGATCTGCGTAAACCCCCATCAACTCCCCCTCGGTACGCGCCAGCTCGGCCCTGACGCCTTCAGAATGCTTCTTGAGCCATTCCTCGAAAAGATTGTAGAGTGACCGGTAATAATACGAGCGAATCGCACCCGCCGTGCCAGCAGCCGGTCCCAACAAGGTCTCGAGGTCTACCAGAGCTAGGCGATAATCCTCGAATGCGGTGTATGTTTGTGTATACTCGTAGGGCGTCAAGTCGCCTTCATGTCGCCGGGTAGCAACGGCATCCAAGCAGCTCAGAATTGCTTGCTGGCTGGAAGCGAAGAGAAATGTCAGCAAAATACCTGAGCGGTCGTCGCGATATGTATGACGCACCAGTTCTCAAGTCTTGTCTCGAAAACCGCCGGAAGTGGGACGTCGCTCGCCAAGGATATTTTGCGCCATGTTGTGCAAGGGAAAATGGTGGGAATCGCAGGTTTTCGCGGCCGCAATGGTTGGAAAGAAGAGAAGTGAGGGCAGGAGCTTCCAGGCCCAGGAGCAATAAATCGAGTCGCATTTTTCAGCGGCTGTGGGGCGCAGAAGGCGCGCCGCGACCATCTGGTGAATTGTGTGATCGCGATACACAGATGAAAGAAACTTCACATGCGAAACTTGGATAGATATTTCATCTTATATATCCTATGAGCCTCCTAACCCGAAACCACATCACCAGCATCAACACTATAGCTACCAAGAGCCTATGACGATATCTGTTTTCTCAGAAGCGCCACGGTACATTCTGTACCACGCCGTTACCGCTAAGCTCCACCATGGTTGCCTTTTGCAGAGGCTTCATTTGGCTTCGCAGACTCCCCAAGTTTTGCGTTCTTCCTTGCAGCAAAGGCGGCCAGGGTGCAGTTGATGCGTGTGATTTCGCCAACCAGGCGCAGGGGGAAGAGCATTGCTGTGGCATCTCGGTAGAAATCAGTATGGCGGGTAATCTTTTCTCGTGCGTCAGCGCCTTCTAGGAGCGGTATTTCAAGTTCAGGGCGTTGGGGTGTGACTTACTGTAACTTGCGGCTCCTCAAGCCGGCGTTTCCCCCATTCCAACCTTTCCGACAGACCGTGCCAGAACAGCGTGATGAAGGCTGTAATCCACAAGTTCATCATCGGGTCATTCCATTCCAGTGTTGTCCGCGGGAGTGGTGCGATTGTGAAGGCGTCAGCGTCCGTCGATGATCTTGTGACTCTGAGGGTCTTCAAGTCGCCAATTTCGTCTGTGCCAAATTAGCTGGAGTTATCTGGGGTGTCTGATAGGCGTCTATCGTTGGATCCGTGGACGTACGTACCGATGGATGTGATAACCGTTCGAAATATCGCTACACCCCTCAAATTTCTGCATTCGTCATCCAAAGAACGCTGCAGCAGTCTTGTCGTCTGGGTCCGAATCCGTGTCTTGAGGGGAACCAGGACGCAGGTGTCCCACTCGCGAATGCAGAGGTAGTATACCGGAAGAGCTGCCGGCTCCCTTTGTAACGCGCTGTCTACAGCTTTCAGGGCACGGCTGCAGCATTTAGCAAAGCTGTGGAGTCGCAACCATTGCCCTGCGTAATCCCCCACCAGTTCAAGTCCGGACAAGCCCGCCAACTCGGCCCCGACCCTTGCGAGGCGCTCCTTGAGCCAGTCAACAAAACGGCTCCTGAGGGAGTAGCAGAAGGCGTGGAGTTGTTTATCTACTACTCTCCCTGCGGCAACGCGTTCAGACCGGCGTGCCACCAGAAAGACGTTGAGATTTTCCACGGCGATGCGGTAATCCTCGATTGCCGTGTACACCTGTTCGTATTTGTAGGTCTTATCACCTCGCCAGACCGCAGCCAGACAGTTCTCGATCATGTTCCAGCTGTGCGTGTTCAGCTGAGTTCAAAACTTGAGCGGACATCGCGGCATGCGTGACGTACCAGTTCTCAATCCTCGTATCGAAAGGGGGTGGGACCCACCCGCCGCGCATCAACGACACTGGCGGCATCTTGGGGTTGTTTGCGATGGCATCCAGCAGCACACTGCTGCGAATGGGATAAGTTGATGCAGTCTGGCATTGTTGCAGGAAAGCAAAGAAGGAGAGGGAAAATCGGGAGTCACGGGCAGGAAATGAATCGGAGTCCATCGATTAAGTTTAAGTTTCGAAACTAGGGCGACACGGCGCTCCGGTAGCGTTGGCTTGAAGAAACTTAAAAAATTTGGACGGCACGTGGTGGAACCAATGAGTTTGCTGGTCTTCTCTGACGTGTGCGTGATGTTGTTGTGAAGAGGAGGAAAAGGATGGAGGTGATGGGACGTGGTTATATACTTTGAGGGGTTTCCGATTGTTGGCCTTTATAAGGTTGACGTCGGCACGCCCAAAAAGTATAAAATAAGCCACCTGCGATCAGGGCTTGGATTTGACATTTTCTGTTTCTCCGCTTAATACCCCTTTTTGTTTTCCAACGCTGGGGCTTGTGGCGTGTGTGTGTTTTTTTATCATGTGTTCATTTTGGTCACATGACGGCCAAGATTCATCAAATAAAAGTCTCTGACGTGTCGATCTGAAGTAACTCGTGCCTTATTGCATTCTTGAAGCCCTTGACATCCCGGACAGAGGAGGTCGATATCTTTCTTCAATCCCTTTTTACATTGGAGAAAATGGGCTCTTTTGTTTAGTTACAGCCCTCGACCAGTCCCGGAGAGGGTCAGGCTCATTCCTTACAGACAGTGCAGCCTTAATAAGTCAGTGACCTTTTTGCGTTTTACGCTAGCAGAAGGATTTTTGCCTCCTCCACCGAAACCAGATGGGTATGAAACTGAAAAACAGCATGTGCCGACGGTCAAGATCCAAGCCCTTATCACCAGGGAAAGGGCCCTTCGGCTTTGCAACGACAGCCTCAAATCTGATCACGATTCCGTTCACCCAACCCATAATTATACCTAGTACCTTGTATATCCAGCTTATCCAAGGACACCAAGCGTGTGTTTGCGTCACCGTAGACTGAGTGTTTCGTCAGACGGTCCCGTCATCGCTGTTTTGCAGTGACAGACGGCCAAGACAAACAAGCACCATTCCTGTGAAGAAGCCGGCAAGCAACACCACACCTCAAACGACGAGTCACAAAACAACCTGCTGCAAGCTGACAGAACCACACCTCCAGCCACACCCCAGGAGACCAACTCATGTGTAATCCCGCCCTAATCCCCATCCCAGCCCGAATCTCTTGCCCGGCCCCACCCCGCCGCCCCACTCCGAAACCCTAACCCACCGCCTCACCCTGACTTCCCCTGTCGCCCCAACCCCACCCCGAGACCCACTCCGGAAACCACAACCCACAACAACCCACAAGACCCCAGCGACCCCAACCCAAAGCCCTCACTCACACTCCGCCCTTCAAAACCCTATCCCACACAACACTATCCCATCAAACAAACCCCAGGCGAGATGGCCGAGCGGTCTAAGGCGCTACGTTAAGGAGTTTCCTTGATTAACATCATTCCCGCAATGATTCCGTAGTCCGAAAGGGCGTGGGTTCGAATCCCACTCTCGTCAGCATCTTTCTTTTTGCCTCCCTTGCTGCTTGGGCAGAAGATGATGTTGATGGCTGTCGCCGCTTTTTGTTATGGTGAAGAGAATGGAGTGGGGGAGCATGTTGTCGACGCGGGAGTGAGCTTTGAGAGCTTTCCATGCAGTGTCTTTGCGCAAGTCATTGGGCGCTCATTGCTCGACAGCAGGGTCGTGGGATTCATTGGGCAGGGCCTTCACGGTGTTCAAACGGGTTTCTGCGCAGCTGGCAGAGGCTTCCACTTCATCATTTTACTCTCAGGAATCCTGCAAAGCCTCTGACAGAATCGTCAGGGCGGTCACGGAACAAACTGCAGGTCAAGATCGGAAGACAATTAAGTGTCATGAGATACGTTCAGTTCGCTACCTATCGGAGTCTCCGGGTTGTTGCCTTTAGGGTAGCGCCAACTTCTACAAACAAAGCTAATAAAAGCCCATCTAGCCAGCCTCGTTCCCTCCGAATCCTAGTAGACGCCCCATCTGTGCTCAGTTCGCAACCTCGTGATCTAAGGCGCGTCTCACCTGCTCGTCTTTCTCTTCCCGGTCCAACTCTTCGTCATATTGGTAGAGCTCCTCCATGCAGTTGGTCTGGAAATCCTTGATGCCCTTGATACGCTCAACCACCTTTCCGCGGTAGAACAGATATGCCTTCCGGTCGCCCCGCTCCATGGCGTCCATTGCCTCGCAGTAGAAGTCGCTGAAAGGTTTTGTATACAAGCACTGCCAGAACCGCCCTGCGCGACGGCACTGCGAGAACTTCCACGCCCCAAAGGCCTCCCAGGACAAAAGCAGCGCGCTTCTGGGGGTAGACCCCATCAGGACGCGGGATATTTCGGTCGCCAAAGCTTTCGGTGTCCCGGTTACCTGTATCGTCTTGACGTGACGGATTCGGCCACAGAGGTAGGTGCGGATTCTGTCGCGCAGCTCAGTGCCTTTCTCGCTCCGCCAGAAGCCTTTTGAGACCTTCTCGCATCTGATGACGAGCGAGCGGATTTCCGGTAACGCGGCCAGAGAACGTCCAATAATATTGATCTGGGATTCGACCCTGACCGAGGAACAGCTGCAGTCGATAACAATGTCCAAATGGCGCGGCGTTCTTTCCTTGTCGAAGAGAGGACTTGGGCGACCGAATAGTGACTCCGAAACGCCGCCTTTGAGGAAGGTGTCCAGGAAGTTGGGAAAGATATCGTTGAAGTAGCTTCTCCCAGATCTCGTTGCGTCGGGTCGGTATTTTCGGCAGAATGTTGCTCTCCTGGGCGGAGGGGAGGGAGGTTTGGGGTGCGCTTCGTCCGCGAGCCTCGGGGAACACCGATGCGGAGCTTCCAAGTGTTTTCCTCGTATAGTACCGAATGTGCCTCAAAGAAGACCGTCTTGCACGTCTGGAGTATCTGAGGATGCAAGCGTGGGCATTTCCAGTCAATGTCGATGGGATTGGTAGACCGCAGTAGCTCTCGGTAGACCATTTGTCGAATTTCGGCAGGGAGGCCGAGGAAGTTGAACGGCTCGGCTTCGACGGCGACGGATGATGTTTCGTTACCGGAAAGGGACGAAGTGGGTGTCAAGAGGCGTCCAGCAGGCGTTGCAGCAGAATTGGCGGGGACGAGCAGGAAGAACCTGCCGGGCAGGACTTCAAAGGTGCCGTCGGGCTGCGGGTCGAGGCCGCGCAGTCTTCTTGATGCTCTTGTCGGTCCTGGTAGGGCTTGCTTCTGAATTCGCAAGCTCGGCTTGGCGGTGGTCTTTGTCTGACTGCGGCCCTGTTTGGCGGGGGAGGGCACCTTGGGTGAGTTCGGCGCCATTGTTGTTGATTTGGTGTTGGCCGCGGATCTCTCGATGGCGGGGTAGTCGGAAAACAGAGACTCTTCGCCAAAGGCTGCGGCCGACTTTGACGCGCGCAAGTCTGGTTGGCAAGCAGGGATGCTGGCGATGAACTTGATACTCTCGCGGTAACGAGACTCAATTGTAAGCAGCGAGATATGAGGTGCGAGGGGATTGATGTGAGCGGTGAGGAAGTATCAAGATGAAGCTGGGTTGCTAGAAGCTTGGTGGGAGGCGGAGGTGGAAGAAAATCGAGAACTGCTCCTGCCGACCGAGAAATGAAATAAGTGACTGAGCGCCGGCGCAACAGCACAGTTGAGTGAATGCCCTGCTACTTCGCTCTCGCCCCACTCACGCCCTGAGTGCTTCTTCATCAGCGGCCTCACACAACCCCTCCGAGCGCTCCTTGTAATTATAACGATATAGCCATCGATTCATCACGCACTGCAAGGCCTCTCACCCACCCTCCAAGCCCTCCTTCTAAAGCAGTAGAGGCATGGCTTCATCAAGCGAGTCTTACACAAATCCTTCGGGGGCTTCTTGCAAGACAATATAGCAATGGGCTTCATCGAGCAACGCCTTCACGTTGTTGACACGGACGAGCTTCTGGCTTGCAAAAGACCTGCCGCCAAATGGAAAGTCCGCCGACAGAATTTTCAGGGCGGATACAACCTCTGATCAAAACCCCATTCCGCCCAGTGAAACGGTACATGGCGCTTCCAAGTCAAGATTTGAAATCGGAGCAAGGTGCAACAGGGCAGTTATATGAATCACTGTTGACGTATGAAGTTTGGGGAATAGATTTATAACTACTAGAATTTCGTATATTCTATCCTAGCAGCATTGTGCGTTTCTGCTTCGGTGAATTCCCACCATCCATCCAAAGGGCTCAGTCTGTAAAAAGACTGCAACGAGCTAAAAGGGTTCCTTCACACAAAGTTTCCCATCTCCATGTCCGTAGGGCGCCCCGATTCCTCACTCGCCTCCTGTCCCTCCGCTCCGTCGCCCGCATCATTCTTGTAGACATCCTCCACAAAACGCAACTCCAAACCGTCTATGTCTTTCAGTCGCTGAAGCTCCAACTGACGGTAGTGTAGAAAGTCCTTCGCGTCGTTCCTCTCCAATGCCTCCTTAATCCTGATCCAGTGCCCTGCATCCGACAGGATCTGCTCGTAGACCAAAACTTTGGCCTTCGTTGTCAGGGTATTCTTCGCACATTGCTTGAACCTCCACCGCTCAAAGGCATCCCACATCAGGAGGAGTCTGTTCCGCGCCGCCGAGCTGGTCATCTCACGAGTCATCTGGGTTGCCAGATCTTCCGGCATCCCAACCGTAGTCATGGCCTTGACACCACGAACCCGACCAGAAAGATATGCGAGGAGCTTTTTGCGAAGTCTGGTACCTATGTAACCACCCCAAAAGTCTGAGTCGGCCATGGTACCCTCACACTTCAAGGTAAGGGAACGGATTTCCGGCAGTCGTTCTAGAGATCTGGCCATGACATCAATATCCCACGAACAGGGTGCGGTAAGCGTTGCGCAGTACATGACGGCCTCCAGGTAACGCGGGTGCTTTTCGTTCTCGAACAAATGGCCAGACGGGAAGTAGGGGCACCGCCCAAGGTTCTCGGGCTGCACCCAAATGCGACCCCCTGGGCACGGATTCATCCCTCGTCCGCGCATTATGAACTTGGGGAAAACGTTGTTGAAGTAGCTGCGATCGATGAAGTCCCTCGGGTCCGAATCGCCAATCGTCGAAGACGAGAGCGACAGCTTCGGCATAGGAGAAGGGCGATTCCGAGCTCCGTCGCGCTGCATCTGGGTTGATATGCTCATGCGGATCCTCCAGGTGTTCTCATCGTATAGAACGGGGTGGGCCTCTCGGAAGATGATCTTGCAGGTCTGCATGATCTGGGGGTGGAGGCGGGGACACTCCCAATCGATATCGATCGCCTTGTCGGAGATCAGGAGATCGCGGTATATCATCAGACGGATCTCGGGGGGGATGTCGAGGAAGCTGAGACGCGCGGGGTTCGAAACTGTTTGTGAGGCGGCATTCGCAACACCGTGTGACGCTGGGACGAGCTGGAAGAACCGGCCCGGCGCCACCTCAATACCCACGGGGCTCGGGCGCAGAGCCTGCAGGCGCTGGCGAACGGTCATCTTCGGGAGGACATTTGCCTGCGTGATCTTCGGAGGGGCGGCCTTGTTGACGCGCGAGTTAGCCTTCTCGATCTTGTTAGTATTTCTCCGGCCGTTCGGGGCCGGGGAAGACGACTTGGATGGGGTCGACTTCATGATCGCTATTGATGGGCGCGGTTGAAAAAGTGTTGGGCGCTGGGCAGTATATTTTGAAGATGGGTCGCGAGAAATCGTGAGAAATAGGTATTGATGAGGGCGACGTAGTATATTTTGAAGATGGGTCGTTAGAAGTCGTGCCAAAGACGTGGAATCTTGGGAAGCAAGTCGTCAGCGATCGGTGGTATCGGTGATATTTATGGTAAGAGGATGCTCGGGGAATGGCGAGAGGAAGAAGATGCTCGCGACTTGTGAGAATTGATAAGAACGGGGCAAATACCTTCTGAAGATCGGGAACAAGAAGTCGTACGAGATGAGGCGTAAGGCTTTCAATGGGAAGCAGGTCGTTGGCGAGCGGTGGGATCGGTGATATTGTGGTAGGAGGATGCCCACGAGAATGGCAAGGGGAGAAGATGTTTGCGAATTACGACAGAAAAGTGTTCGCAGGAAGTGATAACGTTGTAGAAGGTGTGGGAAAGGTCAAGAGTTGCGAGCGAGGTTGGGATTTCCAACCTGTTTGTGGGAGAAGGAAAAATTTCAGGATCGTTCCTGCCGACCAAGAATATATAGACAACCAGGCCGTCACGGCGCCCCACAGCCATGGCGAGTGAATGCCTGCCACTACTCACTCGCAAACAGACGAAAAGTTAACAAGTTCATCTGAAGCGTCACCGAACCGAGCCTTCCCGGCGGCCCCCACCCATGGCGAGTGAATACCTGCCACCATTCACTCACAACCGGACGAGAAGTCAACAAGTTCTGAAGTGTCACCTGATGTGTGGAGACGTCTGTGCTTGATGAACCCCATGGACGCATCATCATGCAATGACCTTTGAATACCTAGCTTTCCGTAAGGCCGCTGATGAACCCGTCAGG